CTGAAGCAAAGAAGAAGGATATGGAAAAACAAAAGCGAAAAATTACACCAGTTCTATGAGTACAAATGAAAATAAACGGAAAAAGAGAAAGATGAAAAAAAAAAAAAAAAAAAAAAAAAAAAACGAAAAATGTCTTGAAGATGCTCTATGGTTTAAGGAAGCGGACTATAAAAAATATCATTTTGAGACTGAACAAAGAATAAGTTTTGCTCAAAACTTCAATTATTATAATTCCAATGATTTTTCCCTTTCTTATGCCTTCGTTAATTATTATGTTTTCTTTCCATTGCGTTTGATATGGCTCCCCCCCCCCTTTCCCTCTTTTTATATCTTTCTCCCACCCTCCTCTCAATCTCTCTCTCACTCTCACCCTCCCTCTTCTCCTCACCCTTCTCTCTCTCACTCCCTCTCTCTCTCTATCTCTCCCTCTCCTCTCTCCTTACCCCTCCCTCTCTCCTCACTCTCTCTCCCCTCCCTCTTCTCTTACCTCCCCTCTCTCTCTCACCCACCCTTTTCTCCCGACTGTAGAGTTTGGTCTGCGCGGGGAACGCGTTCCTCGCGCAAAAATTATTTGGTTCGCGCAAATGTAGTTCTCTGGTAACTTTCCGCGCATAAAATTCTTTTGACCTTTCCGAGCACTTCTTTCATCATGCGTCCGCAGATCCGTCCGCGCAAATGCAGACAAAATGATGTTTTCCATGCATGAAAAAAGGTAATATTCCCCACGCAAATATTCTACAGTCTGGCTCTCAACCCACCCTCTCTCTCTCTCACTAGCAACAAATTTCTTAAATACACACAAGTATCCCATTGCCACAAAACATACACATTAAAAAAGCACAAAACGATAAATAAATAAATAAATAATATGTATATATACATATATATATATATATATATATATATATATATATATATTATGTATATACATATATATATGTACATAAACACCCCAACATGACCGTCTGACAATCCTATCTTCCGCTCTAGTTCTTTGTTTACATTCTGCAGCTAACTTTCCACCACATTTTTATTTCTCCTTCTTCGTCTTTCTATTTCTTTCGCATTCTACTTCTCCATCGTTGCATATCCCTTTAATTGACTCCCAATACTAATCTGCGAAAGGAAAAAAGTGAGAAAAAAGGCAGCATTGTTCACACGATCTCCATTATCATTACAAGAAAAAAGAGATTTAGGACATGATCAATGATATGAAGAAATTCTTGGTGATATCCTATCTAAGTCATTAGATAACATTTATAAAGGAGAGTGAAAGAGGAGGGACACGAAGAAGGAGAGAGAAAATGAGGGGGGAGGGGGGGGGGAAAAGAAGAGAGGGAGAAAGGGAAAGGAGGAATGGAGGACGAAGGGAGAAAGGAAACAAGAACGGCAGGAAGGGAGAGACGAATGGAGGGCAAATGGGAATGAAAGAAAGAGGATAAGATGGAAGAAGGGAAGAAAGGAAGGAGACAGTAAGTGAAAGAAAATGGAAGTAGGAGGGAAGAGAGAGAAGAGAGAGAGAGAGAGCGAGAGAGAGAGAGAGAGAGAGAGAGAGAGAGAGAGAGAGAGAGAGAGAGAGAGAGAGAGAGAGAGAGAGAGACAACGAGGAGATGCACGAGGACAACCGAGAACAGGAACGCGACGTGACGACCAGCAGATGGGGTACGATGATAGGTCACCCTTGAACTGATTAAGATGACGCCACGAGGACGAAGCTCAGGTGTGGCCGAGCGGTATAAAGGGTGCAATACATGCAACCTACTTCCCACGTGTGTCCACATCTAGACCACGTGTCTGGCAGGGGGCGCCAATGTGCGTGGCCCACGCTCAAACTGCCCCTCGCTTCACAACCCACGCCTGTTTGCGCCCCTAGCGCCCCCTCGGCCGATAAAAGGGAGGCCAATCTTTGAATCCGAGTCTCCACATTTTAAGCGAACTTCTCTGAGAACCCACTTCTGACCTGAGTTGCCCTTCCCCGGCTCTCTAGCCGGGGGATCCACCCAGCGGCCGTTCTTCGTGTAATCGTTATTCTTGTGTATGTGTTGTAACCTTTGGGCAATAAAGAGACAGCAAACACCGTGTATCCCTGTACACTATAACAAGAGCTATTAGTAAACTCTTATAGAGGGGAGAGAGAGAGAGAGAAGAGAGAGAGAGAGAGAGAGAGAGAGGAGAGAGAGAGAGAGAGAGAGAGAGAGAGAGAGAGAGAGAGAGAGAGAAGAGAGGAGAGAGAAGAGGAGAGAGAGAGAGGGAGGAGAGAGAGAGGGAGACAGAGAGAGAGGGAGAGAGAGGAGAGAGAGAGAGGGAGAGAGAGAGAGAGAGAAGAGAGAGAGAGAGAGAGAGAGAGAGAGAGAGAGAGAGAGAGAGAGAGAGAGAGAGAGAGAGAGAGAGAGAGAGAGAGAGAGGGAGAGAGGGAGAAGAGGGTGAGAAGTGAGGGTGAGAGGAAGAGGGAAGGAGGGGGGAGAGAGAGAGCGAAAGAGAAAGAGAGAGAGAGAGAGAGAGAGAGAGAGAGAGGGAGGGAGGGAGGGAGGGAGGAAAGAAGGAGGAAGGAAGAAGGAAGGAAGAGAGAAGAGAGAGAGAGAGAGAGAGAGAGAGAGAGAGAGAGAGAGAGAGAGAGAGAGAGAGAGAGAAGAGGGAGGGAGGGAGGGAGAGGGAAGAGAGGGAGAAGGAGAGAGGGAGAGGGAGAGGGAGAGGGAGGAGGAGAGAGAGAAAGAAGAGAGAGAAAGAGAGAGAGAGAGAGAGAGAGAGAAGAGAGAGAGAGAGAGAGAGAGAGAGAGAGAGAGAGAGAGTGCGGAAGAATATTCGGGCAATCAATAAGAACATTTTAGCCACGAAATCACGGGAGACATATGGGCTGCAAGACGCTAAGTGACCTGAGGGCGCCCCCCCAAGCCGTACCCAGGCGCCGCCGGAAGACGCGCCGTTGACCCGACGCGGCCGATATCCGCTACCCAAGCGGAACCAAGGGACCCTCCAGGACGCGCCGAGGGCGCCCCCCAAGCCGTACCCAAGCGACACCGGAAGACGCGCCGTTGACCTGACGTGGCCGAGATCCGCTGCCCAAGCGGAACCGAGGAACTCTCCAGGACGCGTCGGAACGGGCAGTTCGCGCTGAGACACACCACCGTCAACACCCTTGGCTGACCTCTACTTAACGTCCGTGCTATCCGTGCCCTTCTCTCGTGACCCCTCTTACCGCTTGAAGAATAAAGACATAAGAAGCACCACGGCCTTTGTCTACACCCATTTGTGAATCCCTCACAAGTGGCGGCAGCGGAGACCCCAGCCTCCGGAAAGCAAGATAGGTCAAGAAAAGAACCCTACGCTAACCCCGCCGCGCTCCCACGAACCCACGATCTGCGGCGTCCGAGTCCCCGTGACGCCCACGCCGAGACAACAAACAGCTCCTCCAGCCGAAGCCAAGGTACGTGCGTGTCTGAATTAGTGGTGCTTACTCAACCCCCCCTCTTTCCCCCACCCATCCCAAGGCCCGATACAGTGTAACTTATCATTGTTGTTAAAGTCGGTATACTTTACATTTGCTAATTCCGTAGCGATTGATAATTTTGTGTTTTTTTCTCGGGTTACGCACCCCTTGCACAGCAAAGTGACGTGAATAGTTAGTACGAATCACCTTACATGAGTTCTACAACGAGAACCGGAAAATCCTTTAAAGATAAAGTGCTGGACCCACTCGCAGTGTTAATGGGACATAACGAAACGAACGACGACAGAGTGCAATCACCCACCCCATCCACCTCTCATCATACTTCTCTACCTGTACAAAACCCATCTACTGCTAACTCTCCCCCTGTTAACCCAATTTCTGACTCCTCTGATCTGACCTCCCCTTTGGCCAATCCTTCTCCATCCTCCATTCTCCTCCATCCTCCAACACCCACCATCCTCCCACGCAAACACTACCATGGCGCAATACCACCCTCACCAAACCTTCAATGTGTTGACGAAATTCGATGGAACCTCTATGCCCGTTGAAAATTTCTTAAGGGATGTTGAAATATCGGTACGACAAAGTGGAGTTCCCGACACCGACCCGAAATTTAATGAACATTGCGTTATAAGTGCTGAGTGTAGACTAGACCTTACCATCCCTGATGTACGTAACGCCCTGGACACGTTCAAGACTGCTCCCTTGGCCTTATGCAATTGGGAAAGATTTAAGTCGGTCTTCCAAGCATCCTTCCGGCCAGTCGACGCAGGTCATCACTTGCAATTCGCAGCCCTTATTGCAATGAAGCCAGCGTCGTTGTCCGAACAGGATGTGCGGGCTTACTGTAATAAGCTCCAAATTGCGATTTGGAAATGGGTGCAGTCCATACCGTCGAACGAGCCCTGCCCTATTAGAAAAGAATTTGAGGGGAAAACTATGGTCCGTGGATGACGTACTTCACCAAGGAATCCTGGCCTCGTCCCTGCCATTGGCGGTTAGGGAAAAGGTCTGGAGGTCCTGTGAATCAGTCTCCATTTATGCTCTTCCCGGCGAATTCGCGAAATCGGTTAAAGAAAAGTCACCTACGGCAGCCGTACATGCAGGCGTTTGTGACACAGAACGAACACACACACAAATACGACATACAACAAGACACCCGACCAACTCAACAAACAGGCCTGAACCCGCAACCCCAATACACAACACAACACCCGGACCAGTTCAACGACACAACAATCAGCACGCCACAACACACTATAATACACAAAGACCCATCACCAACCGACAGCATACTTTACACAGACAATACACGGCACCTCGTCCATCCAGCAGCAAGCCCGCAATAACGAGATGGTTACCAAGTCCAGAGCAATGTTTTAATTGTACAAGGTACGGCCATATCGCCGCGGACTGTACGTTCCCTCGTCGTGCCCGTATCACCATACAGTAGCAAGACATAACTGGGCGAACTGCAAATCCTTCCAGAACAGGTTAAAATAACTCGCGACCTGCTAAAACAACGCAGACATAAGCAGCGATCTTTTTTTGG